GCACATGTCATAACCATGGATTTTTAAAAAAATTTCTACAAGAATTACTGGTGTTTCTTAAGGAATTTATGATTTGAAAATAATTTCATGTACATTCTTTCATGGGAGTTCACCTAGCTACTAGGTGGTAGAACCACAATTTCTCTTTCAAAGTTGTTTGGTAAATTAAGAAATTAATTTGGATTAGAAGCATGTATTCTTTGGTTGAACTAAGGTTTGATCCAAACATAATTGCATTTTGTGGAGAAGCTACTTTTTTCTATGCACCAGGAACCTGTATTACACTTGGGCTTTTTCTTCTGTGTCTGCTCTTTCTTCATCCGCCTCAACCATACTTTCTGTATATTTGCATACTACACCTCAATAAAACATTATCTATCTATCTATCTATCTATCTATCTATCTATATTTTTCTCTCACTGTTGCTCTAATTGTATGCTAGCTAGTTTTAGTTTGAAGGTAACTTCATTGGTGAACAACAGTTTTTCTTTTTTTAAAAAACTGTCATTTGGATAGGCCTTTTGGTTCCCCACACATCCTGGTACCAGTTTCAATTAGTGTACTTTTAATTGCTGATTGGCTGTGTTGGGTTTGATTTCCAGAGCCTGACTTACTGAGCATGGATTGTTTGGGGTTAGCCTAGCATTAGAGCAGTCCCAGGGGTTTCAGATAATTAACCCAATTTACTTGTCCAATACAACACTTTGTACTTTCATTGTATCCAAATGTGAAATGCAAAGGGCTCTCTGCAACTCCCCCCACACTCCGCCATATAGTCTATATCTAGTTTTATATTTAATATCTACCTAAAAACAAATACTAAAAAGTAAGCCTTGTGTTTATCTTTCTGTACATTTTATAAGTGCTCACACTGTATTTTGAGCAAACAGGGAAAATGTTGTACTGTTTCATGTTTTGAAATGCTGACTGGATAAAGATTACACATGACAAGTTATTTATAGCTTTATTTATACATAGTGGATTCTCGGTTGGAATCATAGAAAGGAAAAAGATATGATAATTGCTTTGTGTAGTTCACAGAATGAAATCTCAAACTGAGATGTTTTGAATCTAGTTTGTACTGTAACCATTTCTAGGAAACCATATTTAAACCTCAGTGGTTATCATGAAGTATACAACATGTCAACTGTGTCCCAATTCACATCAGTAAAAACCTTCCACCACTTTATTCCCTATAACCTAACCTCCATCAGATAATGCTAAATAAACTGTGTTGAGTGCACATATTAATATATATCAAATGTACCAAGCGGCTTGCTGGCTGCATTTTCAGGAGTGTTTATCTGTGGTCATGCAGGTTATAACTCTGAATTTTTATTAGGAAAACTAAATAGAGATTTTATAATATTCCTGATTTAGCTTTACCAGCTGTGCCACAGTCATGGAAAATAACTCAAGAGGGTAAAAATCTAACAGTATGGAAGAATGCAACAGAGAAATTGCTTTTGCTTTGTGCTTACTTGCTCTGCATCTGGTATTATAAGGTTTAGGGTCATGTGGAGTAATTAATAGTCTCCTAACTTACATACTGCTACTCCAGTGAACTGAATTTTTAGGTTGTGTCATCTAAAATAAAAACAATGGTTATTAATTGGTATTTTATCTTATGAATCTTGAAAATAATTCTTTACAATGTGACTGTCAACAATATATAATGTTGCCTTCATTAAAGGAGCCATATGAAATGATTATGTACATTTCTTTTTATTTAGGAATCAGATAATTTGGGCCCATTGAGAAATGATCAAATAGTATAAATAGAAGAAATACTGGATTACTTGAAAGATAGAGTTAAAATTGTAAGGCACTTCTTGTAGATAATTTATTTTTGGAATTGTAGCAAAGGGCACTGTGGAACCTCTTATAATGAACATCTTTGTTAATTTCTGAAACAGGATATGCATAATAAAAGACTGCGAGTACTTATTTATGGGACTCTTCAGATCTGACTAATTTCTGAATGTAGGTAGATAGCACTTACAAGTATTGCTTTGGTAACAGAAATGATCGCTCTAGGTCTGTCTACATTATTTGTGGCGGCTTTGCAGTTTAATTTCATCTAGTCAGGAAGCCCCTAGACAAGCAGTGCCTATGTCTATTTAATTCACTATTGTAGCTCCAGGGACTTCCTCACTGCCTAAACTATACACTAGGATATGTTTCTCCAAGGAATTTAGATGCATTTTATTCCTGTTGAATTTATCATTTCGAGTTAACTATTCACAGAAGAAGAATAACAGCTACTTCCATGCTAAGTGAACATGTTTTCTCTGTCAAAAGTGATGTTAGACAGCTTTCTGTTTTTATGATAAAATACCTGAGATAGTCAACTTGAAGATTTATTTTGGCTCATAGTTTTGTAGGTTTTAGTTTATGGTCATTTAATTCCATTATTTTGGGGCCTTTGTCAAGGTAAAACATCATTGTTGGGAACATGTTGTGGAGCAAATTATTCACTATGTGGTGACTGGAGAGCAAAGAGAGAGATAGGAAAAGGTTAGAGTCTCACTATCCCCTTCAATGGCATGTCACAGTGACTTAACTTCCACTAGGTCTTACCTTCTAGATGTTCTTCTATTCCTAATAGTGACTTAGGCTGGTGAGCCTTTGGGGGACTCTTTGGATCTAAACTATAACAGTTGTTTTATATTTTAGGAATTCTTTTTAGGAGCCACGATGCTATTATATAGCAATAACAGTGAAAGTTATACTGGAAATTGGATACTCATATACACATACTTTTATAGTACTTAATTTTCAACCACTATTATATATTTCACATTTATAATGAAGAAAATGAAGTTTTGGGATATTAACTGACTTGTCAAATGCCAGAGATTTATTGTTAAATGGTGAAGCTAGGACTCATTTACACCAGTTAAAAATATGAGACCTACTATTGATTGAACACTTAACTACAGATAGATACCACACTACATGGTCTTGTTTAATCTTACTATGAGTGAAGGATGATATAACTTCCATGTAACAAATACGGGAAATGAAGCACAGGAAACTTAAATCATTTGTCATAGATTCATGACTAACTCTACTCATGGCTGAGCACCTACAGTTGGAGTTGAGATACAAATAGCACTTTTAATAACCAATATTTTTGTAGCTGCACATAGCTTAAAGATATTTTTCAGACCAGGTGTGATGGCTGTAATCCTAGCTACTCAGAGAGCAAAGATTAGAAGGATTTGTGGTAGAAGGCTAACCTGAGGAAAACATGTTGTAGCAAGGTTCCATTTCAACAAACAAGCTTGGTGTGATGATTTCTGCTTTAATCTCAATTGTGTAGGGGGCATAGCTAGGAAGTTTGTTGTCTGAAACTGTCTCTGGACAGAAGCACAAGACTATCTGAAAAAATAACCAATACCAAAAAGGGTTTGGAGTCATGGCTCATGTACTAGAGTGCCTGCTTAGTAAATACAGGCCCTGAGACCAAACATCACTACTGCTAAAAAAAAAATTACTTTCAGGGTTAAGTTTTTATGTCTTTACCTATTTGCTGAAGAGGTACATTTTAAACTATTTTTCTGTTGTATTCTGCTGATTTAAAAAGTGTCTTTATAGTTAAAGAGTGCTATATACTTATGAATGGAAACTGAAGTTTGCCTTGTAAAACTTGTCATTGGTTCCTCAACCAGAGTAATTAATAGTCAATCTTAGTTTGCTATTGTTATCAGTGTGCTTTTTGTTGTTGCTATTTGTTTCCTTTATTTGTGTTTATTTTTTATTGTTGTTATAAAGGTGATTTAAGGAGGGGTTATAGTTACATAAATCAGGTAAACAGTACATTTCTTTTTGGGCATTGTCACCCCTTCTCTCGTTCTCTCCCAGTTTTTCCTTCCCATTCCCACCCACAAATTGTAAAGTTCATTTTCAGGATAGTGCCATTGAGCACCACTGCTGCATTTGTCCACACTTTGTCTCTCCATTTCTGTGCATTTGCTTAAGTTTTAAGACAGGATTTCCCTGTGTAGCCCAGGCTGGCTTTTAGCTTCCAAAGTGCTGGATTACAAGCATATATCACCACTCTTGGATTCAGTGTAGGTTTTATATATGGTCTAAATCTAGTTTAAAGTTTTCTATTTTATGTGATGCATTTTGTTTCCTTTTTAACTTCTGTTTACTTTCTTATTTGGGGCACCATTGGAAAAAATCATGCATTTATAGTTTTAATGCTTCCCCTTTAGCCAACATAGAGAAGGATTCGATTTTAATAAATCACAATTTTATATTATGATTGGTTACTGGAATACCACTTACAGAGCAGTACTTCCTGGTATTAAGCTTAAGATAGCTTCATTTTTAAAAGGGTTATTTTTCTCATAAAGTTTAATTTAAATTTACAGTATAGGTACTTAGTGATATTTTAAGAATTTTATATATGTATCTCTTCTGTTTTCATATTCTAGGAGAAAGACATTCTAACTTTATAAATAAACATTCTTATAATTTACTTTAAGAGAAATCTCAAGTGTTTGAAATTACTTGATGTTTTTAAAAAGTATTAGAGGATCCAGGACATTAGATGCTGAGGCAGGAGGATCATGAGTTTCAGTTCAGCCTAGTGCTACAAAATGAGGCCTTATCTCAATAAGCCAAAAATAAAACAAATTAATGACAAAACACATCAGATAATAAGGAAATAACTAGTAAAGTTTGGTTACATTGACTTCATCAAATGTACATAAACATGTATCTTTAAAGTATCATGTTCAATGAGATGGGAATTACAATGAAGACAGCAACTTGAGATCTATATTTCTAGAGCCAGAACACTGTTAACCAGATTGAAACATAAATAATCTAATGCAAAGCAGGCAGTAATAAGTACAATGGCATAGATATCAATAAAATATAGTGACAATCAAGATAGGAGACTTATCTTGCATCTGGAGGATCTAGTAAGTTCTCATGGAGTAGATAGGACTGAGTAGAGCTTAATTTATTGCTTTCATTCATTCTAGACTGTCTTCTGAAGATTGATGTCTATTTCCTTGATCTCTTTAATTTTCTTGCCAATTTGGATAAACATGGCTCAAATCCAGCAGGGAGGTCCAGATGAAAAAGAAAAGACCACAGCACTGAAAGGTACATACTTGATTTGCTCTTTCAGGAAATTCCCATTGTGCCTACCAAAGATATAGGAACATTTAAGTGACCTCTCCTATTTTAATATATATTGGTACCTAAGCTATTTGTAATTAGTTGTATCCTTCACAGCAACCACCAGTGTCTCACATGTAGTTAGTTCTCAGTAAATAATTCATAAAACCATGATTTTTATAGGTATAAAAATTCTTAAAGTTCTTGTTCAAGGTAATACATTTAATCGTAAAGCTAACATTGTGTTTTGAATTGAGATTAGTGCTTTCCATATTTTTTTGCTGATTGGAATGCTATAGTGGGTTAGAAAAATATACTAATTCCTATATTGTCTTTGGCATTGGCATTAGGATATTTCAACACTTTAGAAGGAATCTGCCATAGACGTGGTTAGGAAATTTCATGTTTTAGAATGTTTTACTTGTTTTAAATCTGCTATCTCTTGTCATTTTACTCCTCAAGAAGTATCCATTGTTGAGCTGTAGTTTTTTCATTTTCATGCATTTCAGTCTACCTAATAATCTGCTGGAGATTATCTGTCTTAAAGTTACTTTAATTTTTTCAAAGTTTTAGCATGGAATTATTTTAGTATAGTGGGGTTAAAGTAGGGAGAAATGGAGAAAGAAAGGAACATTTCTTGTTCCCCATGTAGGAAATGGGAGTTATAGATTCAAGAAGGTAGTTCTTATTCATAGCTGTTCTTACATATTCAGAGTTGGGCACATACACATGATGCTGTCAGTCTAATAACCCTAATCTTTAGATAATGGTTCTGAGTGGGTAAGGTGGATGAAGCCAATATAGAACATGGGCAACTTTGGAATTCCTTTTGTTAAGTATGTCCTTATTCTTTTTTTTTTTTTTTTTTTTTGGTCAGTCATGGGGCCTGAACCCAGGGCCTGGACACTGCCCCTCAGCTCTTCAGCTCAAGGCTAGTCCTCTACCACTTGAGCCATAGCACCACTTTGGGCTTTTTCTGCCTATGTGGTACTGCTGAATGGAATCTAGGGCCTCATGCATGCAAGGCAAGCACTCTACCACTGAGCTACCTTCCCCTTTCATTTTTTTCTGTAACCATTTATGAAGTGTTCCCAGATTTTTACCATTGCAAAGTCTAAGACATATAGAAGTACTTCCTATAGCTCAAAGGAGAAAACAGATTTAAATAGTCCCCCCTTATTTCTTAATCTTAACTTGACAGTAAAAAGAAGGATTACTTAACCTGTTTTTCTTTTTTTAATCTTAATTCCTGGTTTCAACTTCTAGTCTGGTCCTATTGATATTTGCTGAAAATAATATACTTTTTGTTTCCTCATCTATCTAGCTTGCTTCTTTCCCCTTCATTTGCTGCTTCAGTTCCTTTTAATCTTAAAAGGGGTGTAGGAAGGTGTAGTCCATTTTCTATAGCTGCTCAGGCTAAGAGTGGATTGTTAGCCTTGCCTGGACAAAGGGAACTAAAAAGTGTGTGTGTGTGTGTGTGTGTGAGAGAGAGAGAGAGAGAGAGAGAGAGAGAGAGAGAGAGAGAGAGAGAGAGAGAGATTTAATCTATTTAATCTGGGCTCTTTCTGTAACTTGGTTATGGTACAATAAACATGGTATAAAAGTACCTTTTGTATTCTGGCTTGCAGTTTTTTTGATAAATGCCTCATAGTGGTATCTTTGGATCAGAGGGTAGTTTTTGATTTTTTAATTTGATGTGCGATTTCCATATTTCTTTTTTTGTTACACTAATCTACATTGCCCCAAAAGTATATTAGAGTCTTTTTTTCCTTAATCATTTCCGACATTATTGTTCATATTCTTGATGATGGCTTTTGCTGACTGGTGTATGATGGAATCTCAGTGTTGTTTTGGTTTGCATTTCTTTTGTGGCTAGAAATATTGAGCATTTCTTCATGTACTCATTGGCCATTTGTAATTTTTTTCAGAAATCTCTATTTAGCTCCTTTGTTCATTTAGTTTTGTTATTAATTCTTTAGTTTATGAACTCCATGTATATTCTGATTATCCAGCCCTTGCAGAAGTATGGCTGGCAAAGATCTTTTCCCATTCTGTTTGTTGTCATTTTAGCTTAGTGACTATACCCTTCTCTGTGCAGAAGCCTTTTAGATTTATGTAATCCCATTTGTCCATTCTTTCTCCTGTTTGCTGTGCTCCTGGAATTCTATTTAGAAAGTTCTCACCTATGCCAATAAGTTATAGTGTTTCCCTACTACTTTCAAGGCTTTAGACCTTACATTGAAGTCTTTGGTCCAGTTTGAATAGATTCTAGTCAAGTTGAGGGACAAGGACCTAGTTTCAGTTTTCTACATGTGGATATCACAGCACCATTTGTTAAAGAGAGTTTTCATCTTTAAGCCTTAAATACTATTAGAAGAAATGAAAATATTTTACATTCACATTGAATTTAAAAAGTTTTTAAAATCTATTTTATAAATGCTCAGATGTCAACTGTCTTAATTTGTTTTGTTCTAATATGAATGAATATAAAAAATTGGGTAAATTATAACAAGCAGAAGTTTATTGATCCTCATTTCTGGAGGCTGGGAAATCCAATGAAGGCACTAGACTTCCAAAGTCCTTCTTTCTGTATCATTCCATGGTAGAAGGTGGAAGGATCATGATTGTTGAATTTACCCCTTTATAGCAACAATAATCCCATCCTAGAGAGCAGACTTCATGGCTCAATTACCTTTTCAAAGTGTTATGAAGGCAGTTAAAACCAATGTGAGAGCTAGGCACTGATAGCTCATACCTGGAATCCTGCCTACTCAAGAGACTGAGGTCTGAGGATCAAAGTTCAAAGCCAGCCCAGGCAGCAAAGTCCATGAGGTGCTTATCTCCAGTTATCCACCAAAAAAGGGAGAATGGAGCTGTGGCTCAACTGGTGGTACAACAATGTCACTGAGCAGAAAACTCAGGGACAGGACAGTAGGCCCTAGTTCAAACCCAGAACTAGCACACACAAGAACAAACAACAACAACATAGTGAGAGGTTGTTTTTTGGGAGGGGGGGGAAGACTATTGAAATCATAGTGCCAGCTATGCCAGGTATTAGGTTTCTTTTTTGCTTGATCATGTAAGTGTATGCTGTCTTCAAGGATTGCAAGATATCTTTGTCCCAATTGCTCCAGCTGAATATTTACCATACAGGCATAACTATAGCTGCTTCTCTGAATCCTTGCCTGTTGTTGTATCCCTGTGTTCTCTGCTAAATAATAACAATACTCCAAGACTTTCTACTACCTCTATTATTTATTTATATCATGAAAGTCTCAAGCCATTTCTCGGGACAGTTTATGTTGTTTTGACCCTTTATTTATAGGTAATGTAAGCCATTGAGGAAATAGTCCTTATCTAAGATACTAGAAAATGCCTAAGATGATTACTGTCTTTAGGCCTTTGTAAACAAACTCTTCTCACAAATGTGAAACTTAATGATGGTTTGAATTAGATTGGTATCAAAGAGATGAAAAAAATTGACATTTTCTGATGTTTTAAAGATTTATACCTGAAACAGTTCCAAACAGTACCATCAAGTAGATTGAGGAAACATTGGGAAAAGTAGATTAGTGGTGGTAATGGTGAAAAGTAAGAGACAGGCTTTTGGTATTACATTCAAATGCAACTTAAACATCAAATTTTATAAGTGAAGTTGGAGAACTGACAGAGTTTGAATTTAAGATAATTTTTTTAGGAATCAGAATATATATTATTATAGTCATGATCTTAATTGATATCAGTGTAATCAGTGTAGCTAGAAAAGAGGACTGTCAGTGAGGTATCAATATACCTAGAAAAGATAAGTCTAAAGATTGAGCACTGGGCACCCTTTAGAATTATAAAGATGAGAGGAACCAGTGACAGAGGTCAAATGGAATTTCTACTAAAGAGCTAGGAACTAGGAACTACTGAGAACTAGAAACAGGAAAGAGATCTCTAATAAAAAATTGGGGATATTATTTATGTCATATGATGGGTAAAATTAGATGAGGACTATGAATTCACCTGATTGGTGAATTTGCACTAGAAAATGGAAGAGAAGAACTGGAAACCACCGTAGAGAGGTATGTGAAAGGTTTTGATGTGTACTTACTTGTATAGTCATGAGAATGATCTAGCACATTCAGAATAATGTATGATTTAGGATTGATGAAAAAGAATATATGTAAAACATTCTACCTAACTGGATGTGTAGCATTTCCATCTAGATATGTTTTGTTCATTTTCAATTTTACTTGATAATGTAGAAATTTGATCCTAAGTTGTAGTTTTAATTTATTGCTTCTATAAACAATATGGAACACGAGATCAGATTGATTTGGGGGAATTTTAGAGGTGTATAAGGATGCTAAGAGTGTAGGTAGACTCTAGAGCTAGAATTATCCAGATTCAAGGTCAGACTTTTCCCTCTTACTAAGGACAATTTGCTTAACTTCTCTCAGTTTTCTTTGTAATTGGAGTAATTAGTACACCTGGTGTCATAGGAATTAAGGAATCAATTTGGAGAGATAGGTGTTGACCCTCAGAAAACGTATGTTTGAATTACGCTGGTCAGTTTATCCATCAATTTTTTCACACTTAAATCAATTTGCTAACACTTTCAGATGAACTGTATATCCTAGAATTGTAAAAAAAATAAATATGAAAAAAATATGATAAAATATATAGTCTATTCTATCATTTCCTGCCATAAAACATGCACAAGCATAAAATTTATGAATTTATCAAAACTTACACTAACGTAGACTATCTGTGATACTAACTGCAATTGAGAAAATGTAAATAAATGCAAAGATGAAGTATAAGGTCATGCATAAAATGAACATACTATTTAACAAATATAATGGTAAAAGTTTTGTGTCACCTGTTTCTACTGTTGTTGATTCAAGGGCTGCTAGTGTCTACTTAAAATTCCATATGATGTGTAAGCAGTTTCCAATAAATTGTGTGAGGCAGAAGAAATGATCTTTTATGCATTTTCA